CTCACTTGATAAGCTGATGTGTTAGCCCCAAAGGTGGAGTCCTTCTGGAAGTCCTGTTTGGCGATTGAGTAGGAATCCCCACCTCTCCTCCCGCCGTCGGCGGCCGCCGGCCCGTTCTGTGTTCCCACGATCAGAGACACATTGGAGGGAGGCAAGGCAGACAGGCGGGCGTGCGGGAGGCGGTCCGGAGCAGAGCAACGGCGTGTCCCTCGAAGATGTGGGTGTCGGCAACGGAACCGCGTCCTACCACTACCCGCACCCAGAGATGCGTTGGAACAGAGGCAGACCAGCGATGGTGTGGGAGGATGCTAGCATGGACAGGTTTGTAGACGCGAAGGCGGTGGCCATGCAGTTTAATCTAGCTTTTCTTCCTGTAACGGAGGGCAAGATAACGAGGGGCGATGAATGCGTCGGGAGAGATTCGGTCGCGGCAGCGGCGATCGGAGTCACGCGGAGAAGATGAGCGACCCAGTGTGCCAGTTGACACCCATGGGCCATACAGCCCACGTGCGAAATATTGACTCGGGCAGAAGCCCACGTACCTGGCTTGGGAAGCCCACATGCACTCAACAGGTGGCTACGTGTACATTGTGTTCGCAGTTGATCCAATGGCTAAAAATAATAGGGGTGACGTGGCTGCGCGAGAAGTCAGGAAAATCAGGTAGTGGGGGGCTCCTATTTAGATATAGAAGATTTCAACTGAAATAATGTAGCCCCCAAGTGTCGGGTCGTAAGCCTGTAGCAACTCGGGACTATTCCTTCAATTGTAGAATAAATCATATCTATTGATAAGATGATAGCCATTTGCGCTAAAGCGACTTTGAAACCTTAATCATAATACTGGTTATTAATAACCATAATAAAAATCCAGCCATGTTGGCTATTTGAATGATATATACCCAATGATTTATAAGCGCATAATTCCAATGGCGCAATTCAAATATATACTGGCGACTTATAGTCCAAAGCCAGGCCGGGTCAATAAACACCGAATTATAAGTGATTATGTACTGACAACTTGTAGTTGAAAGCCGAGCCGGGTTAACGAACACCGGGTTAATTTGATAACTGATAGTCATCCCGGGTCAATGGACACCGGTTCAACATAAAATTTATCAAAAGAGAAAAATCTTGACAAAGGCAAATAAAACCGTGTAGTCGAGGCTTTTCAAGGGCTGCCAGGCCGAAATTCGAGGCTTTTCATGGGCTGCCAGGCCGCTGAGTTAAACCATTTGACAAAGCCTTTTAAGACGGCCCTCCAACTAACCAATCGTCGTTTTAACTTTGACAAGTTCAGGGTCTCAATGAGAGTAACTGTCAAACGTTCGGCGGGTCATGCCAGGATTACGTGGATAGGAGTGGCTTACTTGATGAAGGCAGGTTAACCCGGGGTTTTAGGTGAATACACCAGGCTTCCAAGTCGTGGGTCGATACCCAATTACAAGGGTCCTTTCAAACTCTTTGTTGCGTTGCACAAAGAGCCTCCAAGTAACTTTGTAAGCTGTGCTCAATGGGTGCCTATGTTTGAGTTGTGCTTGAGCAACAATACTCTCTTTGGCCCCTTGGGTGTGAAGCTCCCAAGCTTTGTTGTGGCGTGATAGCCGGATTAATGGACATAACTCCGCTTTGTAAGCTGAAGCCCCCATGTAAAAAATAATATAATAAGCCAATAAGGCGGGATACCCATGTTTGAACCGCACGTCAGAGCAGCAGGTCCTCTTTGACAACCTTTAACTTTTTGCAAGAGATAAATTCTTCTTGAACTGGTATTTTGACCCGGCTATCGAGAGCTTCAAAGCTTGGTGGGAGATAACTTTCCCTTAAACCAGATATTAAACCGGAATTCCTCTTTTAAGCCGGAAATTTTCTGACGGCCTTTAAATTTGCACCAATATGGCGGTTTTAAGGTCCTGCATTTAGATAACCTTGCAAGGGGGAGTGATTGCTCTTTTTAAAGAAAACAATATAAAAAAGATATTGGATGGATTTCACCTGATATGTCAGGCTAGTAAATTATCCACCGCAGAGCTGATCATCACCACGGTGAAGGTATGTATCCATCGAGCATCACGACACGGACAGGTGCTAGTACAAAAGAATATTGGTATGTGCTCCGTATCCGTGGTATAACATTACTTTCGTCACAAATAACTATCTTGCATAAACATTGCAAGACAGAATAACTGTACGAAACATATTATTGTACACAGATGAAATAGATAGGACAGGATCACCTGATATATTTTTCGAAGGTAGTAACTGTTGACCGAGTGAAAGCCTTCACGTCCAATCAACTAACCACTTATCCATCAAATTTTTGAAATGGGTTGTTCCCATCAATCAGTAGCACACTTAGCTCAGACCGTGAATCCTTTAGCTTGTTTCTTTGTGTGAGAGCTTGCTCCCTCTCACTTTTGACATGATTTGCTTTTTGATGTGGCACGCATACACACACAACTTATTATTGGCATCCCCACCTCCAACCTTGTATTTTAATCACCAGGCCTCCTGCCACTTGAACCCGTTATCTCCACAGAATAACACCATAGCTCAACACAGATCGGTGGGGCAATAATCAGAAGATGGGTCACATTGGCCGAGCCCCTAGTAGAAAAGGTGAACCGGCGGAAGTCAGAACTGTTCACTGGAGACTCGCGGCTGCTCAAGACGGTTCAGGAAGCGGAGACGGGCCGGCGTCCAACGTAGTGACCCAGGGCATCATGAGGAAAAAACGGCGATGGCGGTTCAAAGCCGCGGTAATGCATGACAGAGCCAGTGCAGGGGTCGCCGGCGGGTTGATGCGAGTGGTGACTCACAATGAGGCTGTGAAGGCAACGGCGCAGCCCGGTCGAGGCAGCAGGGCACCAGGCGGAATGACGCGCGGACATGGCCGGTTCAACGTAGGAAGCGGCTGTAGCTCAAGACGGTTAGCGGACATGGCGATTTGAAGATGGTAGCTCGGGGGTGCCGGCTCAAAGCAATGAGGCTGTGTCGAATTGATCTGGCGCCGGTTCAACACCAGGACTGCGTCTCCACGCACACGGAGGCGACTCAATCGGGAGCAATAACAGGTTGTTGCTGCAGCGAAGGCAGCAGTTGTGGCTCGGACGGCCAGGGAGTCGACGGTTCGTCGGCGGCGACCCAACCACGGCAGGGACGGTGACAACCCGTGCGACGGCAGTGGGTTATGGCAGCGGAAAGGTATGGCGGCTTAATGCGCCAAAGTGGACACGGCAGCGCCGGTTCTGCAGCGGCAATAACCCGGCGCCGGTCTTCAGCAGCAGAAGAGGCCGAGGAAGGCCCGACGCGTCTAAAGAAGTGGCGAATTATGGCAGACGGCTCAGAGGAGGCTTCCATAATCTCCCGGCGCTCCACCATGGAGAAGACACCCATCTCCTGCACCTCCGTCCTGGCGGTTTGAAGCTGAGCGCGAGGCCGGGAAGCTGAGCACGCGAAGCCGGGGCGGTCTCAGAGGCACTCTTCCACGACCTGCGACAACCCAGAGGAGGTGATTCGGCCAGGCTGAAGTACGGTTTAGGTTGGGCTGGTCTGTTGAGGCCGAGGGCGGCTCGAAGCGAAGTCGCGGAGTCGAGGGTGACTCGGAGCACCGGGCCGGCTCCCTGGCGAATTGGTGGCATCAGCAGTAGCGAAAAGCAGGGCCGGTCTTGAGGCGAGCCATGGCAGCGGCTGCATGTACTCAAGGCTGGGACAGCGGAGGTAAACCGGCGAGACAGGCTAATAGGCTTAGGCAAGCGATGACAGTAGAGGCGGGGGCGGTTTTGACGAGGGCAGCTCGAAGCAGCCGGCCGACGAGGCGCGACTGAACCAACGGCGGATCATAGAGGCGCGGCTGCGGGTCGGCGATGGCGAATCGTAGGAGTTCGAGCCAGTAGCCTCCGCCGGACATTTGAACATCAGTGATTGTATCAAGCCGGCCGGTTCACAGCAACTTTGAACATCAGTGGTTTAAGATGATTTGTTTTGACCAACATGGAAATAGCAGCAGCCGGCCGGCAACGACGGCTCAGGCGACGCGAGGGCGTGAGCAGCAGAGGCCTGCGGTCAAGTCTATTTCCAGGCCGCATGTTTTTTCCGAATCCACATCCGCCTCAACCTCCAAGTCGTGACCCTCCCCTTTTCAATAGTAATTTTCCCTTGATGACTGGGGTCCTGGTACTTGCATCTCGCATGATAGAATCCGTTATCTCCACGTGAGGGAGGTACTTCCCAGGCTTGGGCAAAGTAGTAGTAGTAGCTTTGTCTTTTTCTAGTAGCACTTTTTTTTATCCAAACACTAAGCACGACCATTGCCTGCACGTGGGAAGTACTACTTCATGCTAGTCCCCTTTTATTTAATGTAGTACTGATTCCCGTGCTCCTCCAGTATACTCCTACTAGTACTAGATTGATTTTGTCTCTGTTTTGACACGCCCATGTGAAGCGGCAACCTGACAGCCGGTATGCATGGGCGCATGCCACGGGAGTTGCACACATCTATAATCTATAATATCTAAATAGTTCATCCTCGTTATTCTATTTCTCTTGACATGCAAGCTATCCACATCATCATCAATGCCACATCAGCATTTAGTTAGAGGATTACATGTGGGACCAACCACACTAGAAAACAGCCATGTTAGCTTCAGTCAATGCGGGTAGGACCTGCGAGAGAGGCTGCCCACGCACGTCTATTTCCGTCTGTGGCGATTCCCATCGCATCCTTCCCAACAGAGCGCCTCATCAGTTCCCCACGGCAGCGGATTCCCCTTCCTCTTCGTCTTCTCCAATCTCCATCAAATCCCACTACACAGTTACTCTGTCGATTCAGTTGCTCTTACAATCTGGTAGTATTTCTCTCCGGAGCGCTTGCGATTTCTTAAGGTAAGCGATGGCGAGGGCGTGCCCCCTTGCAACGAGATCCACAGGCGGTCGTCCCAGCCCTGCCTCCGGCTTCCCCGACGTAGGTGCCCCCGCCCTGGAAGAAGAGGGCCTCGCGGCGGATGCCACTGCGCCGACATCGACACCAACCACTCTCGGCGTTTACCTTGCCGTCGTGTGTCGGGTGCCTCGACAGAAGGCCAGGAATGCTCCCCGTGGTGCGGCCAACCCTTCTCGGTGCCGCTCAACTTCCCCACCACGCATCCGCTGGGCTCTCGCCTGGATGGACGCTCTTCCCGGCAACTCAACCATGGAGTGTACGTCGCGCCGGGGAGGTCTCCAGCCGGTGGATGTTTTTCTTTTCGGCCTCGAAGGGCTGGGGTAGTGGTGACATCGGGTAGGGCTTCCATTGATAGCCATGACTTGCAGGAGTGCTATATCGACGTCCTCCCGCAGGTGCCACCTCGACTGATTCAGAGACGACATTGATTGCGGCAATGGTGGCCCTTCCTGGCAAGTGGCATTCTACTGCAGCAATGGTGCCTTTTTTGTTTTGGGGCAAGCTGACCTCATGCATCTGCGCAGGAAGTTTGGCTCCTTTCTATCAGCGATGGATTTGCAAGGTTCAGTACCTGTTCTTCAGTACGAATTTGGTATTCTGTCTTGAAAAAAAATCTTATTCAAAAGAGATCAGACGAACCGTACAGGCGTACACACCCACTGCTTTACGCCTTCTGCCTTCTATATTTAACAGCCTACTTTTGAAGAAACAACAACCTCTCTCATCTATAACTTTTGTTGTAGGTATTCAGTAATTGATGTTTGGCGCTCCCTCTCCTAATAATATCCGAGATGGTGCTTCACTTCGTCTTCCCATGATCTCAGGTGGTGTGTGCTAGACGACAACCAAGTAGTCATCTTGGTCGGCCCGATCACTGCATATGCATACTTTGCAGATTTTTGTCTCCTACTGGTATATTCTTCCCAAGTTCCTCCTGTGTTTTGATTTTCGGTTTGAGATTTTTTTCGCCCTAGGCCGAGATGGCCGAAATTCGGTCATTTTCAAAAATTTCGGCTGAAATTTGACCAAATTTTGACTGCAATTTGACTTAAATTTGACCAATTTCGGCCTAAAGATACTTTCCGCCTCAGGCCGAGATGGCCGAAATTCGGCCGAAATCCGTTTTTTTCGTCCGAAAATCAAGATGGAACTTCCTCTCCATTGCTAATTCTGCATTTTTGTTTGCTTCATTCAAATCTGAATTAATATTTCTTTGATTGGATATGTAAACTTGCATTCTATACAAGCACCCTGTGTACTGTGTGTTTGGGGGTACCTTTCTAGAGATCGTCATTGTTGTTAGAGATTTCACCAGAATAGAATACATTTGGTTGCTGACGGATATCTTTTCAACATCATTGGCCTGCTTAATACGTGATATCTTTAGTGTGAGCTTTACTTATATGAATTTTGTTTTTTCATGAATGGCAAATTCGATAATGAAACATCTCTTTTTCATCAGGTCAACTGTAGAAGATTATAACCGTTTCACATGCCCTCTCTTTGCATACTTTGAGGGCATGACCATTTGAATTATCGTGTAGTTTCTTTTCAGCAGTAGTATGTACAATTTCAATAATCTCAATTTTGTTTAAAAGAAGTTCAAAACTATCAAATAAACCGTGAGAGCATAATGGTGCAGGCTTTGCCCAGTGTTGTCAGATCCATTTCGTGTCTACTATTTGTTTCCTTGACTACAAATTCAGAGTTCATTTGAATTCTTGTGACCGGTCTTTGTGTAAGAGCTAACATCACCGCATCTGTCGCCGACACCACACACCACTTACAGTCTCCTTCAAGCATGGCATCAATGGCATGCCTGCCTGATCCCACAACCGTTGTTTGCTCTCCGATGACTTCTAATTAATCTGAAAAACAGTTTTTGTTTCCTGCTCATGCTACAACTTGGACCATGGCATCTGCTGACATGAATGTACTCCGATTTTGGTTCTCAAGAATTTACTAATTGATGCTTATTCTATACATTTCTATTTTAAAAATTGTTGATTCAAGCTTTATAGGTTTCCTGATGATGTGTGGCAAGAAGTCTGCTATGAACCAAATTTGGAATTCTTGAGAAGGTACATAAGTTTCTCTCCTTATTAATATTTATAATATTTGTCACCTAGCTGTAGCTATTTTTGCTTGCTCTAACCAGTTATACGTCTGCAATGATTTGTCCAAGTTAATTCCCTCTATCTTATTCCGTCAACTAGATCATACAGGGGTTCAAACAGGTTTATGAAATGGCTATTTTTATACTGATAGTAACTCAAGTATATTACCTATTGTAGTACAGTTATGTTATAGCAGATATAAGTAGAAGTTGTTTGATTTCAGGTGACGATTCCCCTTTCCCCAACACTTACTGATAGTATATTGCTTTTTTTGTTCCATATCGCAGTATTGAGACTAAATTGGAGAGAGAGAACAAACCTGATACACTTGGTAATGTTGGTCATCCGAAGGCTTCAGGATTACTCCCTCAGTTCCATAATTATATATGTATTATTGGACGGAGGGAGTATCATTTAGTGACTGGCAAAATCTATTGATGCGTGTACATAATATCAACAAATGTTACTTACTCATTTTATTGTAATGTAATACTAGGATTTGTGAATGTGCTGTATCTAAAAGTGATCTATTTTGCACCAACATCTACATACATCTAAATGGCTGAGAGGATGTAATGTAACTGAAACCTTTAGCCTAACTTGAAGCATGGACATAAAAGATCAATTTTTATCAACCACTTTTTTGCGGGTGAGCCACATTTTTTGGATGAACTGAATTATTCTCAATTTCGAAACACCATTTGATGCATTGATAATACAACATGGTGCTTCTACTTTATTACCTTATTTTCTTTCACATGTATATCATGTAGTTGGCATTTATTCCTTACAAATTATTTGTTCAAACTTCCCGCAGCAACGCGCGGGGCATCATCTAGTTTTACTAATAGCAGAACGACCGGTTTAGCGGAGGATTGATGCGAGGCAAAAGCGGGTTGCAGCGCGGTCGGCTCGAGGTCGTCTCTAAGGTGATGGCGAGGCCGAGTCAGCACCGGGGCCCAGCTGTCCAAAGCCCTGTTTATTTGATGACGCCGAATCAGACTCTTGTCCGGTCTAGTTTTTTTGAGCATCAGTACAGACACAAGCGCTCATATACACGTGCATACACTCACCCCTATGAACGCACACACGCACACCCTACCCCTATGAGCACCTCCGAGAGACTGAGCCGGCATATCATCTTGAGATTTATGAAGTCACCGTAGGCGCCTCGTCGTCGACGGGAACGTCTCCTCCCACTGAAAGCGTATCGCCGAAACCGCACGCAAAACCAAAAAATCCCTATGAATCTTAATCTCATATCCTCCGCCGCAAAACGCTTCGTCAATCTTTGCTGATTAACTCATTGTTGATGTGAATTTTTCCCTGCCGATTTTTGTTGAACCGGCGGGCCGTAGCTTCTCGAACCCTAAAGAGATCCCTTCAAGAACTCAACACCACCGTGCGTAGGCCCCACGGTGGGCGCCAACTGTCGTGGAATTAACACGTCAGATGTCCTTAGTGTGAGGACTTAGTCGTGAGGCCAACACATCTATGTGGTAGCTTGAGAGGGGTTGATCGGAATCGAGAGACGCAACACAAGACAAGGGTTTAGACAGCTTCGGGCCCCGGGAAACATCATCCGGTAACAACCCTACATGCTGTTTGAGGCTAGATCTCATTATCATCACAAGGGAGTCGCCGTAAACCGGCTCTCCTCTAGTTGTGTCTAACCCTAGAGATTGTTTCTTGCTCGTCCCCCTTTGAGGAGCCCTGACCCTCCTTATATATGTTGAAGGGGCGGGTTACATGTGGAGTCCAACTCGGACTTTAACTTAAACTATTTTGACTTCCCTTCCTGGGCTTCTTAACGTCTGTCGGTTTAACATTGTCTGCCAATTTAACATTGTCTGGTGGTTTAACATTGTTTGCCGGTTTAACATTGTCTGTCGGTTTAACATTGTCTGCCGGTTTAACATTGTCTGCCTTAGCCATCTGTCTTGACTCTCTGTCTTAACTCTTCGCCGGTTTACCATCCGCCGGTTTACCAAATCCCAGCCGGTTTACAACTCCAGCCGGGTCATACTGCGGGGTATATCCCTGACACTACTAGTCCAAGGCTCCTAGCTAGCCAGGAGTACGAACGCCTGTGTGAAATCACACAAGATCCACCATGTCGCTCAAAGGCTATTACGAAGCCTCGTTGCGTCGGCCGGCCGCGGATGATGTGTTTGCGGCGGCGGCAAAGTGGAACTGGGGGGAGGCCCTCCTCGACCGCGCGGCTTACATGGTCGACAAGGTAAACCACACCTCCTCCCGCTGTTGATTCAGGATGGACGTTCTGGACGAGAGGGAGGTGGAAATGTGGGTCACCTTGTGCCTCGCCCCGCCGCCTCTCGTCTCCTATTTCTGCTGCCACGCCTACTACATCGACGACCACGGAGAAGAAGACACACGCTTGTTCTGCGACGAGCCGTCCATGTTCGCCATGGAGGGTGACCTTGCACTCATCACCCTCTGCCACGGGAAATTCCACCCCTCTGCCATAGACAACAACAAGAACTACTATGAATACCTGGTGTACCGGGCAGGGGAGGAGGAACTCACCCGGCTCCCGCACCCCGCCCCGGCGATGTTGCCAAATAGGAGATCCCACTGCTTCAATTCCACTTCCATTGCTGTCGTGCCTTACAGCAACAAAACTTCTCCCAAGGATGATGATGATGCCTATGATGCCTACAGAATCGCGACGCTTGGCAAGGACTTTTTCCACGACGATGCCAATGGCCCACACTACCTGTGCATCTACGACTCCAAGGTCGGGGCCTGGACCCGCAAGGCAGGTGCTATTCCACAGCCTCTGTTGCCGCCGTACGTCCGACTTTATCTCCGACATGGCCATCACCATCGGCGGCAACAACGGTGGCATCATGGGCTGGGTCGACCTCTGGAGTGGCATGCTCCTCTCCGACGTGCTAGCCGACGACACCCCCTTCCACCTGTTCCGCTATGTCCCCCTTCCCGAGCCGAGCCAGCTGCCAAATTGGCTCCCTCTTGCCGTCGACATTGCAACCGCCTTTCGGGACATTGTCCTTGTCAAAGAGACTGGCATCAACAGGTTCGTCGACCTTCAGGTCCATGCAGAACCCGACCCTTGCTCAGAAACCCCTAGTGGCTGGACGGTGGTCACATGGATAATGGAGGGGCTCCGTAGGGATTCGGAAACCCTGGGTGATATGTGTTTCAAGCCGGAGCATGAAGTCCATTCTTGTGATATTGAAAA